GTGTGTAGAGTCGGGTCAGTGAGAGGTGTGTGTGGGACAGTGTGTAGAGTCGGGTCAGTGAGAGGTGTGTGTGGGACAGTGTGTAGGGCTAAATGTGCAGAAAAAAATATGCTCTGACAGTGGTCTCCCTCTTTACAGTTCCCCTCTATGTGTGAGAAAATGAAAATCCGAATCCTAGACTGGTAAGTCAATACTCACCCTGATATGCCCACTGCCTAAACATTTGCCATCCATCCAATTTCCTAAGTGCTTTGTCCTATACAGAGTTGTGCAGGAGTGGGACTCCATCCCAGCAAACAACAGGCATAAGGCAGGATACACCCTCAAAATTACCCCAGCCCATTGCACTCACACAGACAGACATGCACACACTAACACTCAAGCTTCCCCACAAGTCTACTTACCAGTATGTCTGGACTGTTGAAGGAAACACTCACAAACCCAGGGAGGTAACAACCCAGGTCTGAAATTGAACCCAGAGCCCCAGAGCTGCAAGGCAGCTATGCTAACGACTGTGCCACCATGCTGCTTCAAACACATTTTATTTACAGTTATTTCATGATCAATACGTTTTGATCATAGCGATGACAGTTATGGTCTTTTTCAGCTATTTCCTGTACAGATTGTTGGTATTTATGTGTGTACACCTCTAATGGATTGTGACCCCTAAATGCAGGAATTGCTTTTTTATTGATTACACCATTGAGCAAAGTTAAGGGTGCTAGGACCCCTTTTCCCTGCAACAGGGTACACCAAAGCTTGTCTCTTTAACCTCTCTCTCACATAAATCACTCTCACAAAAAAGAAAACACACAAACCTCCACAAAACTTAATTTCTAGTAAATGCAACATTCATCACCACTGAGAAAAACAGAATCCATGACACAGAATATCCCTCCAAAGGGCAGACCCACACAAATCCCCCATGGACCCCAGCTACTTGACACAGAGTCTCAAAGGAGACGTCCAGCAGCACTCTTCTCTGTGTAGGGTCTCTGGGGGCTCTTAGCATCCTCTTTAGTCTGACTCTCCTGCACAGCCTGTCCCCCCCTACCCTGTTCACCTCTGTGACCAGCTCTGGGTAAAAGGTGGGGGTGCAGGGGTCTTCCTCCTCTGCTCACTGTAGAGTCCCTGGTGTCCGAGTCCTCTCCTGGGGGCTGTTGGGCAGACACTGCCATTGTCTTTTTGAAATTGTCTCATTCTCTGGGGGATGATGTCTAGCTTGGGGGCAGAGCTAATTGCTCAGGGCTCATTGAGGAACTGTCTATATACAGATTTGGCCAGGTGTAAGAATGCATTATGTAGCGCTAATTCCCAGTATGACCCTGCCATATGTACACAGTGAGACCTGTGTCACAGTTCACGTCACCTCTCGATTGTCTCTAATTGCCCGGAATCTGTGTTAATAGGGTGTTTGATCAGTGGGATGAAGCTCAGAGCACAAGGTGTGAACTACACCAACCCTTAGGGTGACACTGGCCATTGAGTGCAACTTACATCCCCACCTTGACACCTTTCATCTCACACCCATTATCTCCCTCTGTGACACACCTCCAGGTGTTTTCTCCATGTAACCTTGAGCTATAACCATGTGAAGTTTTTACATGATCTGAACGTGTGTTTCTTAAAGACACTTCCTCGTTCTCTCTGGCAGGGACCGAGCAACTCACAACGATGTGATCGGCACAACACACCTGTGCATGTCCAAGATCTCTGCGCCGGGAGGGGAGATTGAAGGTAGGGAGGCTGGGGCTGTGGAGCACGCTGGACTGATTAACACAATGGTGTAGTGCGGTGGGCCGCTAACCCCACTGTACCCGGGGGATAATGGGCTGTGCTATGAGGTGGTGGGAGCCTTGCTCTGCTGTGTGGGAAAATGCATGCGGTTAATTCACTCTTGCAGTCACAGAAGGCAGTGTTCATGTAACTTATCACTATTGCAGATTTTACGCCACAGGATGCATACAGTATCTCCTACTACATGGGTAGTCAAATACGTGATCAACCCTGTCCACCCACTGCAGGGTTTTAACCCAGCCAGCTCTTTAACTGTTTGACCCACTAATAATCACCTCTACAGTTAATTAAAGGGCTGGTTGTTCAAGACATACATGCTAAATGTAACGGGAGGTTTGGTATGTTACTACCCCTGGCCTCACAGATTTTTATTTAGTGGGGCTGCTCTTTACTGAGAACTCTCACCCACTTCTGATACAGGGATCATACAAACCAGACATGCAGCCTTGCTTTTTATGTCTGCTTATATGTCATGGTTTTCAATATCTTTGTTGCTACACAGTTGTCGCTCCTGCTCAGGCATCTGCAGAGGTCTGACACTGAGAGTTTATAAACAACACTGTTTAGAGTCGAGACAAGACCAACCAACCAATGAGACTGGTGGTTCTGTGGCTGAGGCTGTGACTGGCCTTTCTCAGGGGTATCAGGAGACCAGAGCGCTGTGCTGTGTGTGCAAAGATCTTGGTGTATTCTACAGGGCGTGGGGACTGAGATGTGTTCTGTATTCAAAGGACTGGGCTGTTTTCCTGGACTGTTCATCACCATTTTAACTCTTATGACATAAAAAAAATACAAAATCCATGAATGATTTGATTGCTCAAATTAAGAAAAAACAACTTGAGATTTAAGCCTGCCTCCCCAAAAATGTATGTGACACTGTTGCAACACTTTTCTTACAAAGATGAAGACTGTGTGAATGTGGCATCGGTTTGTGTGTGTTGAGAGACTGTGGCCAGAAGAGCTTTAAGATCTGCTGCTCCAAACATGACCTGAGCACCAAGTGGTTCCTCGGCCTCTTGTACCAGGATGGCTCCAGGAGGCGTCAGGCTCAAGTGCCAGGAGGTCCACTCTGTGTGTGTCCTTCAGTTAGTTGTTTTAGGATGCATTGAACTATTGAGGTGTCACTGGTGCTTGCAGGCTTGTTTCAGTCCTGTATTAATGAGGACTAGATCTCACATCAGTGCCCCTTCTCATGGTGTCTCTTGTAATGCCTTTATTAGAGTTTACTGCAGTTTACCCTAGTAAAAGCAGATTTTGTAATAAAGCTGAGTGACATAATTACAAAGCATGAATGCATATAGTAAATTGTTATGTAAACCAGTGAAAACTATAGCAAAGAAATTGCAGTGTTGGAGCAATAGCAGAATTGTGTTAAGTAACAAAATTGTGTGATGGGGTGAATTGGTGTACCTGTAGGGTGAGGAGCCCTAAAGCAGTCGTCTGAGAATGAAATTTCACCATCCTCCTGCATTCTCCTGCAGGCTGTTGCTTGGTTGGTAGGAGCTGCATATGTTGAATTAACTGGCAAATTAACATGTCAGCAATTATGTCCAATGGTCATAATGTGGTCAAGCCACCATCTTGTTAGGGAGCTTGTATTGAAATATAATAAAAAAAAACAACACCAAAGGGACAATAACAAAAATATTATTGCAATTTACTTTGATTGACGGTGTGTGTGAGTGTGTGAATGTGTGAGCGTGCAAATGTGTGTTTGTGAGTGTTTGCAAATCAGTCACTGTCTGGATCTGCAAAGCCCCGAATTATAAGTGTGCTAGAGCTGCTCTTTGGGCTGAGCCTCGATTAAAGTAGAATATTTATCAAGATGGTGTCGACCAGCCAGAGAGTGTTTCAGTACAGCTGTAGGAATGCCATGACACAAGAGCAGTTAGCACAGAACTGGCCTCTGTGCTAGAGAAGGCAGCCCAGGTCTTTACTGTCTTTTCTCTGTCTCACTGTTCCCCTGTAGTCAGCAGTCCCCCTCACAGTCCTTCCTCCTGCTGCTCTCGGTGTGGAGCAGACTGCTTGGGTTGGAGAGCTGGGTGATGTGGATACAGAGCAGGAAGGGAAATTGGGACATGTTGAGGGAGAAGGAAGGGAACTGGGTGTGTCTCAGGAGGGGATCGTGTGAGAAAACACCACGACGAACCTAATCTCTCAACAGCTATCTCAACAGCAAGCACAAGGAGTATCCACTAATCATACTGTGGTCTAGAACACTGGCAGAAATAGGCCCATTCCTCACCCAGACCCAAGACATGCAGGCCAGATGACACCCATGAGTGGAGTGCTGGATGGGGTGGGTGGGCGTGTGTCTGCAGAGTGGACTAGGGTGAGCGTGTGGGATGTGCTGTGTGTGTGGTGCCAAGTAATGGAAGACACACAAAAGACACTGAGGAATTTGGAGACTCTATCCTGATGAATTCCTGCCAGTGTCATTTGGGATTTCTTAAAGAACTATGAAGTTGCACTTTAAGATTCACATAAAACCTGGCGGTATCTGAAGGGATAGTCCAGTTGCTGATATGTGTGATTTTCTTGGGATCTGAGAATTTTACCTGCTAATGCAATTACTAACACACAAACCTTTGTTGCTTTCTGATAACATATTTTAGAAGTGCTGACTAAACCATTAGAGAGGTAGACTGACTTTTTTTAAAAGTCAGCCTATCTATGAAAAAGGCAGATCTTATAGCATGTCCTTTACCACCAAGAATAAAACTGGTTGCATAAATGTGTCGGTTAGACAGTTCTACCTCTGTGACAGCCTGATCGTACACAACTACAGCAGCTCACTGGTGGCGTGTCTGGTGCTTCTTAAGTTGAGTAAAATTAGATTTTCTTTACACTTTTCAGGGACAAATCCCTCCATGTTTTTTACAGGTTACATTAAATTAATCTAATATATATATCTTCTTTGGGGAAAGTGTTTTTGTCGCTTACTTTAGTAGGAAATCGCATACTGGACGCACTTAATGTGAATGCTAATTGCAACGTGCCGTTAGTTCAGTGATATCTGTTGTTTGCTTTGCTGATCTCACTTGGAGACACAGAGCAAAACAAGCACTCATGTGTCACAGCAACACACAGAGAGTTTGCAGGGAGGAGAATGTCCACATGGTTAGGGTGAGACATGCATCCTTTTACAGCCTACAACAGGAAGGATGCCAGACAGGGCAGAACTGTGAAATAAAAGTAGCAGGAGTCTGATCAGTTTCTGAACTGGCTTTCGCCAAGACCCACCACTCCTCTTGGGCTCCGAATGGCTTTTTTCTTTACTGAGAGCTGCATCGACACATGGCAGCCTGATCTGCTCAGAATTTAGTAGTTATCCAGGCCGGGGCTGATCAGTACTGGAGAAGGAGACCTCTGAGGACAAGCAGGATGAGACTGTAAGTGGTGCTGTGGATCAATACCCCTACATTTCCCTTGAATTTAAGTGCTGAAGTAGTTTGTCACTACAGGCGCAGAATGGCTGCTCTGTGTCGTCCAGCTGGGACTGCAGTTCAGAGGTTGTGGAAGTGGATCTCCTCCTAATGTAAAAACACTTTGGCATCTTTTGAGATGAAAAGTACCCTATAAATCGAAGGAATTAATTCATTCATGACTTGCAACCTGTTCCATCCTGACATCAGAGCACTGTACAGTGTGCACACAACAGGGAACACAACAACAATGACAATAATGAATAAATAATAATACATTTATAGCTGTTGTACAATAGTTCACATATAAAAACACTTGTGTTTTATATAAAACTCAGACCCATAAAAACTTGCACATAAAAAGCCAGATGAAAAGCAGCAGCAGTTTCTCCTTGAGTGAGTGGAGATGCACAAGAGCAGGTGCTATTGCTCACTGTGTGATACCAGGCCTCGCGTGGGAAAAGAAGACTCAGATCATTTGTGTACCAGCAGGACAAACAAGGAGAAAGGAGAAAGGAGTCCAGTTTTGTAGGAGGTACATGATAAGTAGCTTGCATTAGTGTCTCAGTCCCTGGAAGGCCACATTCCCTAAAAGCTTACCATTAGCAGGAGGTGGCCAGGCAGGAGGCCTTGTCCTCATTAACGACCAGTTGCTTCTGAGCTGGGAATTTGACATGCTGAGTAAAGCCAAAACAATCCAAAATAGCTGTTTGTGAAACGGTATATACATTTAAATAACCAGCAAGAAGAACATTTGGAAAGGTTCAACATAGTAATATTAATAGCTCTCAGATTGAAACCCAATAGCAGGTTTAGGGGCACAGTATATCACAATGTAAAGCACAGGTTAAGAATCCTAAAACAATCTTGCATTCAGAGGATGCAACATTCAGAATAGAAACCATATTTCAACCAGTCTCCACCTTGAAGGACTGCTAAATCACAATCCTGTGAGTTGCTTCAGCATCTGCTGGTCAGTTCTGTACAATCAGGCTCGAGTGTGGTATTTGTGTGCTGATCTGATCCTTTCTGAGGGAGGCAGCTCTGTCACACCAGGGATCTGCGGATTTGATTAGCTGAAGAGGGCAACTCTTCTGATTCCCTCCATTAGAGGTGAAGGTTTACGTTTATCTGTTTAACTGGATTTGTAGATCAGTGGTTTTGTAGTCTGGCTGAGCTGAGTTTATTTTCTTTCAAATGTGTCATTATTAGCTCCTGATTTTTTTTACAAATAATTCATTAAAAAAATAGACTCAGTGGATGAAAACTATCTGAAATGCACAGCACTGTAAAATTTGTTATAATTAGGTTAATGTTTATCTTTATTACAGGCCCTTGCAGATGATTGCCGGGCATCAGAAGTATTTGTCATGTCTTGTTTTTACATTTTCTGTCTGAAACATTAGGCTTTGACTGTATATCTCTATCCACTGCACTTGTCTGAGCAAGTTAGTGGAAAGCTTTAAATTAAACTAATATTCATGTGCAATAAAGTACTCCTTAGTGGTTCTGTATATTTCCAGACCACAGAACAACGAACCCAGTTAAAAAATGATAAAACATTGCTAGAAATCGAAGCTCTCTTGGTGTGCACCTCTGTACTGTGTGATCTGCTGTTTCCTTGAAGCCCCATGCTAACTCGCTCCTAATGTGTATCCATCTCTCTGTGCTTCAGATGACTTACCACCGAAGACCCTCACAAACAGCTGTACGTCTGGTACATCATTTCTCTCCTTTGTGATGTTACACTTAATGCTGCCATAGTCACTCCCACAGCAGTGTTCCCCAGCAGTGGCTTCTATATGACGAAAAAGGAATGTTTTCTTATGCTGTGTGATAGGCAATGTTGTCATTGGTACCAGGAATCTTTCTGAGTGCTATTCTCTGGAATTATTCTTGTTCCACTATGTGAAGTTTTATTAACTCTGCTCAGAGTATGGCAAAGCTCTACAGAGATTTTGTTTTCAGAGAAACAGCAATATAATACAGCACCATCCCAGAAGATAATAAAATGGTTTGTGTCTCTTGCTTAGACACTCACATAAAAACGTGGACTCTCAGGTCCAACTGTGTCTTAGAGGAATCTGAAGAATTCCTTATATTCACTATAATTCAAGTTTTAAATGTTAACAAATAATGATAACCATGTTTACCAGTTTTCTAGCATGTGTTTCTGAATCAAAAACAACACTGTAACTGATGATTTACACAGCTGTAAGAATATATGGTTTTATTAGAATATTGTAAAATGCCTTGTTGATCCATTCATGAAACAGGTGAGTTTGGATCTTTTTGTGATTTTCAATTATACTATCTTCAAAATATTTGGACAAGGAAAGGCAATAAAACTGTAAATTGATCCAAGTATCTTGTGTAGCCAGTTCTTGGAAGAAGCTAAGACACTGACATCAACTACTGTATATGACTGGGTAGTTTGTTCTAAGCTTCCAAAACTCTTTGGGTAAATAAGTGCCCCCTGTTCTAGGTTTTAAATGTTGTTGCACATAGTTTCTGCTTGTGTCCTCTGGTTTGTGTTTCATTGTTTATTTTGAAATCCTCTTGATTGACTGGTCAGTGATTTTCAATGCTTATATCAGGTCCTCTCGTAATATTCTCTGTTCATAATAGACCTGTCACTCCAAGAGTAGACCTGATTTCCTTCAATAACTAAGCTAAACGAAATATACACATTAACAACATTTGACATGTATTTCCTCACAGGGAGGATTTGTTCTGTGTTCACTGAAAGACAGGCAATTACTAAATCACTGAATTCAGCCTCTGCTGAATGGCACTGGCCTTGCCGAGACTTTGACAGAACGCCGACTCTTTTAACAATTAGACCCAGACGTCAGTCCATGGGCAGTTCAAGCACTCGCCCTGGGTGTCCTGGGTATTGTATAAGCTGTTAACGAGTGTTTATGCTTCCTCTTAATCACCTTTGTGTCTTCTGTACCCCCAGTTGATGACAGCCTGGGGTTCCTGCCCACCTTTGGGCCCTGCTATGTCAACGTCTATGGCAGCCCCCGGGAGTTCAGCACATTCTCGGACCCCTACGAGGCTCTCAATCTGGGCAAGGTGCAGTGCTACATGCCTCATTGTGCTGAGTGTTTCATGGTAGTCCGCCTTTCACTAC